GTGAGAGTGTGTGAGAGTTAGAGCACTGGATGTTGGGAAGGGATGTGCTATCCATTCCTCTCCACGCATCGCAAACTCTCTCTCTCTCTCTCTATTCTTCTTTCTTTTATTTTTATCTCATGTTTTCTTCTTTTATACTCTCAAATGACTTATTGAAGAATTGCATTAATATTTCGTTTAAATTCAACAAAAATAATAAAAATATTTTGACCATAAAAGGGACTCAAGAATAGCATAGCATTAAAACTATTCGCATATTATTATAATTTTAAATAAAATTAGTCACGTTTTGCATAAAAATGTTCACTTAAACCGAAATACAAGTGCTTATAAGATATATGACAGACACACCAGTGCTCTAACAGTTCCCACTCTTTAATGATTATATTATACACGGAATCCCACTTTTCATCCCTTACTGCTCCAGCGTTTGGCCATAAGAGTAATGTATAGATGTCTTAATGGTATGTGTTATCGATTGCGATGAGAAAGTTTGCGATGCGTGGAGAGGAATGGATAGCACATCCCTTCCCAACATCCAGTGCTCTAACTCTCACACACTCTCACTATAACTCTATCCCTCTATCGTATGAATGATAGGATTCTCCATCCCTTTCCATACACTAATTCCGATGCAATCATTCAAACGAGAATTGTTTTCATATGTGTTTTGTGTTTACAATGTATTTGCAGTCAATTATCATATTATAATGAAATCGTATACTTATATAAACACAGAGTAAATGATTTTATAGTTTATAATATTTAATGATTTGATTAAACATATAATGTTTTGTATACAATCTTAAAGACAATGCATTTAAACCGAATCTTATGTTTTATTATAACTAATTGTTTTAGTTGTGAAGCTTTGCGTATATAAACGATGGTATTGTTGGCTAATATAAGCATCGCTTATGTAATCCTAATCTTAATGAGTAAGTGATATGAGATATTATTAAGACTTATAATTATAATTGAAATTACATTCCGAAAGTAATCATTAGAGGAAAATATGAAATTACAATTTTCAATAATTAATTAACAAATAATTTGCCATTTATTTAACATTTTTGTGTTTATAAAGAATATTCTGTATTTAAGATTATAATCATAAATAAATATAAAATCTAATGTAGATAAAATGTGAATTTAATTTAGAAATTTAACACTATATTGGATGCAATGAATTAATAAATTGTTTATTATTACAAATGGTAGCGTTGGTGGGAATGACGTTATCACTAAAATGCTATACTTGTCATACAAATGACAACAGCCTTTGCACCGATGAGTTCTTACTGGACTGTCCATCAAACCAGGCCTACGACCGATGTATGACCAGAATATTCAAGAAGCGTAAGTCATTTTCATATATATTCCACAAATAGGACTGAAATTGAGATCTAATTAATAATGTTATACAAAAGCGATTCAGTTATTACATAATTAATGTTTAAATAAATTAATTGTTTGCTTTAATAATAGCGAGATTAGATTCTATATTCTTTAGTGTATATTTTTCGCCCACGTATTGGTTTTAGTGATTAATAATTTATAGAAATATCAGTTAATTTGTTTACTGGGAGTCTATTTACTTGAGATAATAACTTATTGATGAATAACATCATTGAATCATATTTACCATATAATAAAAAAGATTTATATTGATAATAAGAAAATACTTTGACAACAATTTTTGCAATGTTTTAAACATGTATTAAATAATGTTAATTACATTGAAATGTTTAGCCAAAGACGGGTTACACATCAAGAAGGAGTGTGCGTTAGCCCCGTGTCATATCCGGGACCCGAAGCTGGCATTTATAACACTCAACGATCAATGCAAGAACAACGACGACGAGTGTATCTTCTGTTGTCCAACCGATGGCTGCAATAAAGACGCCTCACATCCACTCAATGCTCACAAACTATCGTTTGTATCCATTATTTTCATTAGTCTTCTCGCCATTTATTTTACACGAATTGCATTTAAATAGACTTTTTATTTAAACGCGAAAAATATCTCATTTGATGAGAAATGAGAACAAATACCGACTTTTCTCATTGTTTTAACAATATTTCTAACAAATAATAACAATTTATAATTCAAATATTCATATCAAATGTTTAGCCGATATTTAACTTAAAAATTTATGAAACAAATAAAAAATCTGTATAAAAGGAAGTTATAAAACTCTATTTAAAATTTGAAATTAAAATTTGTTTTTATCAAAAACTAATGACTAAAATAATAATAATAATTAATAACTGTATATATCGTATAGTAGAGCGTGATTTCCAATTGTGCCAAAAAACTTCTTCAGTTTGCTTTTGACAGACAAATAGCACACAAAAAGATATACCAAACCATACAATGAGGAGTGGAACCAATCATATACTGATTGATACAAATTTCTATCAATATATCAATTGTTATTATTATTAACTTCAATATATTGGGAACAAAAACACTTTAAAAATTTTATCCAATTTTAACCCATATTTTCATTTGAATCTATGGTTTGATAATGAAAAACAATAACTGGTTTACAAAAAAATAATGTTTAATTCAATCACATATTAATAATAATCATGTTTTTGTTTTATTCATAAAACTTATGCAAAACTTCACTTATATTTCTTAAAGAATGTCAACACAAAAATCTATAGGAAAGCAAATAATGTTTATTAATATTAAATACTATAATAATTCATAAAAACTAATTAACTTATATATTCATAAACTAATGAATTTGTTTTTCATTTAATTAATCAATTCTTTCTAATTAATTAAAACTGTTTTATTTTCTTGTGTACCGTTTTGTCAAATCCCACGATATGTCACACAATATAATCCTTTTATTTTTTATTGTTGTCTCACAATTGTATTATATTTTCTAATACTTTGTTAACTGTAAACTAATCGCACACTTTTGCTTATCGTTAAACTTCACTAAATTTGTTTCAAATGTTAATAATACCATAATTTATGTAAATTCAAAATAATTTTGACTTAAATAAAAGTTTGTAAAAATTAATAAATTCTTAATATTATAGGACTGTTGTTGTTTTCAGACAGGAAACTTTTATTTAATTGCTTTATTATCTGTAAATAATTTTTAAACTCAAATCTTAATATTACTTTATTTAAAAATTACAAAAAATCTTCAATTTTACACTTCATTAATGTATTTATTAATATTGTTTTATTAATTAAAATATGTTTTATTAAAAAATCAACGCCTATTATAATTTCAATTTTAGTTTATTATATATTACAATCAAATTTTTAATTAGTCTTGATGAAAAGTTTGTAACTTTACATCACTTCGCTTACACATACAATATCGGTAACATAGGATATTGTATAACATAGAAGATACTGTCAATATAATTAATAATTGTGTTTTTACAGTTGGGTTTGTATTATAAGTTTTATAATTTATATATAATTTAACTAATAATTAATAATAATTTATATATAATTATTTCATATTAAATATAAAATAGATTATTATGTTTGTGAGCTGGATTCAAAATGTTCTACAATTGTTGATACAATGAGCTTATAGAACATGATTATAGAATCTTAACAAGGTTGTATTCATAATATCAAACAGATTACAATTTATCTAAATCATGTATAGTAGTTGTTTCAACAACTACAATATAACAGTTAGTTGTAGAAAACAATGATTGTGGTAATTCTGTATTATTCTACCTGTAATGTAAGTTTGCCTGCAATAGAACTACCAGTTTGTTTTATTACGGGGCAGCACAAGTGCACAGGTATACTGAAGGTGGGATAGGCATGTATGAAGTCAGTACAGGTGTGGCCCAGAGCTGATTGACTTTCAGTCTCAATAGTGTACTGTTTGTTGTGTTCATTTTATTTGTATTTAACTTTTATTATTTACAAAATTCTTATCATTTTTACCATAATATGTCATAAACTTTGACCACCAAAATGAATATTGAGCTCATCTTCGGTCTAATAATCAAAACATTAATATTTAGTTCACTTTTCTATACGGAAGGTATGTATGGATACTATGAGACAATATTTTTCTCAAATCAATTAATTTGTTTAATTCAATGACCGAAACGACTGATTAGTATCGGGTCTCGAGTGCTATGTCTGTAAGAATCAGGAGAACAATAAAGACAAATGTGTGGAAACTGTGAAGACATGCGATCTGTCCGAAGACCGGTGCCTATCGGAGGTCCGGTGGGGAAGTCAGTAGTCGTCCATTCATTACATACCACTTTCATCTCACAATCAAAACTAATCAAAATTATCATTTGTTTTCTGTGTGTTCGCAATGTTAAGGCACTCCCTATTGGGCGCCCACCGGAGAGAAACAGTTTTATGTCTCAAAGCGATGTTCATCGAAGGTATGGCTAAATAATATTCATCAAAATGCGTCCATATTATTAACAAATCACTAATTAATTGCAAATCCGATGACTTTTATGGCAGAGAATATGTGAGCAATCGTTGAGGAATACAAGCAAACGGTGCGACAGAATCTGGTATAACGACTGGGAGTGTGTCGAGTGCTGTAATGGTGATCGTTGTAACTATTATATCACTGTTAGTTCAGCTATTAATTACACCCACTATTCATCCAATAATATCTAAACTCTTTGTTTGTCTTTCAATTTGATCCCATAGTTAGCCTCAAACCACTTAATCCCCGGATTTGTTACGATATGCGTATCATTAGTGTTGGCGTTATATTTGATACATTAATGCATTTAATAAATTGATCACAATATTAGACACACTAACGAAGAATCTCATGACATTCACCACCAAAAAGACATCTACTTTTTTAATGATATTTTTATTTATATGTTCTGTAAATACAATGGAATGACAACTTTATACACAACTTTTGTACAAATAGTAATAATAATAATAACTTTTTTCAATTAACAATTAAAGACTGACTTAAAGACTACTAACTATTGTGAGAGGAAAGAGAGGAAAGTTTGTCCAAATTAGCCAAATGTCTGATCGTTGGCCTGTTATGAGCGCAATGCCAGGGATTCTCGCAGCCACTCATTTGCGAGACGATTGTCTTCATTTGGGATGTGTTGAGCGAATCGCCAATCATTACACTCGACCGACACGCGCGGGAAGCGATCACTTTTTTAAAGCCATTCAATTTATAATCGGTTAGCAATTCAATGGGAGTTTCGATAATGAGGCCCACAATCTCGTCGATGTCCTCTTTGGTGGCCATCCAGTCGCCAGTCGTGGGCAGAGCCGACACGTGGAGTCGATGTCCAGCCTCTGCCGCGTCGTTCACCACCAAACCGAAGCCAAGGCGTCGGAATGTCTGCATGTGATCGATGACCACCTGTTCGCTGGAAGCGCTCAACTCCAGAGCCATCGGTACCACCAGATTCTGTGTGTTGACAGTCGTTGTGGTCAACAGACGCTCGTAATTGTATCGCTCGTTAGTCGCGTGTTGGTCCACAATGAAGAGATCGCCGACCAATCGGGTGACAATAAAACCGTTATTGAATTGTCCAATGATTTGCATTTCATCGAACGATGTCTTCTTCAGCTCGTGATGCAACTCCTGTTCCGCCCTATCGTTCTGTGAGCTCTTGATCTGAGCGCTAAATCGTGGCCTCATTTCTGGTTCTTGTATTCTTTGGCCAACAAATCGCCGCAAATCTTCTCGAATCGTATGAATGTCGATATCTGTTATCTGATCGCCATTTTCATCACTCTTTTTCGGTTCTATAACTGATTTTGGTTGACCACAGCCTTCTTCTTCGTCATCGGATTCCACAACTATCGAGCATTCAGTCAGACACGGCTTCTTCGGCGGTACGACACGGGATGTGCTCTCGACAACCACTCGATTACTGGTATAAAAATCATTACTAATAATAGGCTCTTTTGGTGTCGTATTGATCGGCACTTCTTTCACATGAAAATTGATTTCTTTTGACTTTTCATTTGAATGAAAACTTTGTTGCCTTTCATTGTTACCATTGATTCTGAATGTATTCATTGATCCGCGACTACCGCTAGACTGACCACCAAATCGTGGTATTTGGACGTCAGTCGCTTTCATTACATTCAAAGCTGTCGTAAACTTTTGCGGCTTTTCGATCACTAATTCTTCGTCTCGAGAAGCGGATGCCGTGCGATCATTGGATGGGCGAATGGGTGGTGTTATCGCCTCACGACTGGTGGTCACCTGAAAGGGCGAATCGCACGGCGATCGGCTTCGTGTCACTTTCAACGGTGATGTGGTCAGCGATGAGACTTCTTCGTCATCGATGGTCTCAATGGGTCGCTTCCGTTGAGTGACAAAAGCGGTTATATTTGTTTGCGTATAGTTTGTCATTGAAACCAATGAACAACTATTTTCTTTCTTAAAGAGTCGTTGGAGTGTCTCTTGAATTGTGGTAAAAATGAATTCTTCATTCGATATCAAGAGTTCTCGTTTGTCGGGCGAGAGGTTAAAGTCGACACAATTGGTGTCCATTTCAATGTTAATCAATACAAAGGGGTATTGGTCTCGATTGAAGGCGCGGTAGATATCATTGACAAACTTCTGGAGTTTCTTCATATCACACGGCCGTCGGTTCACGTAATAGTACTGCCGATCGGTTGTTCTTCGGCCGCAACCGGAATCGCATTTCGATATAAAACCAGTGATCCGTAGCGACGGCTGAGAACCAGGTATTGGATCCGATGTCAACTCAACCAACGCTTGCATCTGTTTTGTGTCAAAGATCTCGACGATATTGTTCTTAAGGCTAATGCCGGGACTCGAGAGTACGGTTTGTTTGGGTTTATTCGCCAATTGGTTCGATAGAGTGATCCGAAGACCGACACAACCGATACAATAGCCGGAAACCAAACGAACCATTTTGTCGAACTCGCGGCCAATATTAGCGCAAAACTCTTTGCGTCGGACAGGGATTCGGTGGAACAGCTGCTCGACAGACACCGCAGTGCCCACCGTTCGGGCCATCGGTTCGCGGGCTATGATTATGGCCTTCGAGTCAAACTTCAAACGCGTGCCGACTATAGCGCTCAGGTGTCGGGTCTGTATCGACACGTCGGCCAAAGTGCACAACGAGTTCAACGCTTCGCCGCGAAAGCCGAACGACTTGATCCACGACAAGTCCTCAAAGTTGGACAACTTTGAAGTGCAGTGCCTTTTGGCCAGAATATCAAAGTTGGAGCCATCGATGCCGAACCCATTGTCGGTCACTTCGATCAGATCCCGACCGAACTCTTTGAGCCGAATCGTGATGACAGTGGCGTCGGCGTCGATGGCGTTCTCCAGCAGTTCCTTCACCACCGATGACAGTGTTGTGATCACCTGAGCGGACAGCAAACGCCGCGCCGTCTGCTCATCGATCGCACGGATTGGCCGAAGACTCGTGTCGTCAGCCGTCGGCTCCGATGAAGACATTGTACGCGAAGAGTGTGTTTGTATTGAATCCGTTGGTATTATTCTTCCACTTCTGTGTCCATTCAAGACATGTGTTATTTTTGATCACTTTTTCAATGAATTCTTTTTCGTTGTTTTCAAATGTTTTGCGCTTTCATTGCATTCAATGTGTGTTTTGAGTGACAGTTGAGGCCATCTATTGATCGTCTGTTCTGTCCATACATACAGTCTGTCCGACACTTCACTTACAGTTCATTTGTCTTATAATAAGTTTTATGGTTTAAATCGGAGTATTATATGACTAGAGCTTCCATTTATCGGGAGTAAAAACATCCAAATTCGGGAATAACAGTCAAAATGTGCAAAATTGGGGAATTATGTTTTTATTCAATTTGAACATTATAATTATGCATTTTAATTATTTGGAAATGAATTATATTTGATAATGAGATGAAATTTGAGATTTTTTTTCCATTTAATGAATGCCTTCTATTTGTAAGAATATTCTTAAATTGAGAGAAAGGAGGATGCCCATCTGTGTGTTAGCGGGCACTTTGGATTTATTGTTATAAAATGAAAGTACACTCAATATGTAGTCGAGTCATATACTTTATATGTCCAGATACTTTCTGGTCTGGCCGTAGTGACCACTTTTATCGGTAAAATTTTGAAAATCAAATCTTTTATTTTATAAATAACCATAGCATATTATATATCAATGGAAAGGTATGGATGAGTGGATTCGATATCTTAAGGAATTTCCTAAATCTGACATAAGAGATAAAAGTTATATCAAAATTAAGAAATTTAGTATCAGTTATGTACGTTTTTTATAGTGAATAACGTAATTACTGAACATCATTTATATCAATTTTAATTGTGCTTACAATGATAATTAATTTCGCAAATTTAAAAAAAATTAAATTTTTTAATATAAAATTTTTGGCATTTTACCCATTAANTCATTTATATCAATTTTAATTATGCTTACAATGATAATTAATTTCGCAAATTTAAAAAAAATTAAATTTTTTAATATAAAATTTTTGGCATTTTACCCATTAACATTAATCTTTGTCCTTTGGGGTTTAATTGTTGGGTATTTTGCAAACACTAGTTTTTAAAAATTAAATTTATTCAATATTTAATCAATTTATTTCTAACCATGACAATTGCATTATTATGATAAAATTCTTAAGTATTAACAAAATTAAATGAGTTTATTCAATATAAATAGCGATGGACTTTAATACAGGGGTGTTTAGAAATAAATAATAAATTAATAAACCCAATGAATCAAGTTATAAATGCAAAACAGATTAGAATTAGCAACAACAAAAAACATGCTAAATATTAATCGAGATCACAACTAAAGACATCAAAGCAGTGCAAAATCGATGCATTAGTTACAAAACAAAACAACAAATTATTATATTATAAATATTAAAGTCATGTTCAATAAAGCACTGAATTATGCAATGAATCAGACATTACTTGTATATAAAATTAAGTTTTATCTGTAACTAATGCACCGATATTTGCATTAATTTAATGTCTTTAATGCCAACAAAACTTCACACATAAAAAAGTAAAAAGTTTTATTTTTCAAAACTTGGCGCAAAGTATAACTAAAGAGCGAGAGATTGCGTGAAACTAGCATTATATCGATGCGCGCGACCCATACATGTACTTCACGTGCTTTCTTTGCCAATAATATCAGTGTTTACTCAATATTTCAATGGATGTGTTGTCTGTTGTTATCATCAAATAAAACACCAAGTTTAAACATTCGCACCATTATATAAGTACTTTTTAGGTTCATTTAATCGCTAATATTAATCATAGTTAACCATATTGCAAGCAACATAGACATCATAATTACCTAGTTGTAAACTAGTTGCAAAGTTTAACACTGGTATTTATTACTATTGATTAACATATTGCAAACTACCAAACTAATTGTAAAAAAAATAATCTAGCATATTTATTTATTACCAGAATTAGCATCGCAAAATAAGTATGACGGACAAAAAACTGAGCGGTAAAGTGTGCATGATCACTGGCGCGAGTTCGGGCATCGGCGCCGCCACAGCCCTGCACTTCGCATCCCTGGGCGGCGATCTGGCGCTCGTCGGCCGCAACGAGGCTAACCTGCAGGCCGTGCGGCAACAAATCGCCGACACCGGCCACTCGGTTCGCGTGTCGCTCATTGTGGCCGACCTGAGCCGCGAGGCGGACACTGTGCGCGCCGTCGACCAGACACTGGCCGCTTGTGGCAAACTAGACGTACTGGTGAACAGCGCCGGTATACTGACGCGCGGCACTACGGAGTCGACCACTTTGGCCGCCTATGACGAGCTTATGAACATTAATCTGCGTTCGGTGTTTCATCTGACACAATTGGCCATTCCTCACCTGCGCCGCACCCGCGGCTCAATCGTGAACGTGTCCAGCGTTACCGGTTTGCGCGCTTTTCCCGGAGTGATGGCCTACAACCTGAGCAAAGCGGCGTTGGATCAGTTGACCCGCACGGCGGCGCTCGAGTTGGCCGCCGATGGCGTGCGCGTGAATGCTGTGAATCCCGGTGTGATTGTGACCGAAGTGCATAAGAGGGGCGGTATGGCTGACCCCGAGTACGACCGCTTTCTGGAGCACAGTAAGACCACACACGCCATGGGCCGAGTGGGTCAGCCCCTGGAAGTGGCCAAAGCTATCGCTTTTCTGGCCACCGATGACTCGTCGTTTACGACTGGCGTTACGCTGGCTGTCGATGGCGGCCGCTCTCAGATGTGCCCGCGTTAGGCACACCCATAGGCAGGTGCGACGGGTTTGGGGGCTGTTTGGCGGTTGGGATGTCATTATGTAATGATTTACGGTTTAGTTTAAATATTGTTTTTATTTTTGATTGTAATTTGTTTTGGAATTTATTAACAGATTTAGAAATTATAATTTGTAATAAATTTTGATTAAAATTGATTTTTAATTATGTTTTTTTTTTTGTATATGTAATTGAATAATAAAAAATGTTATTTTTAAATAGTTGAAACATCGAATTTAATCATTTATTATTTGTTGCACATTTGTTTATATTTTTTTATACATAACCAAATTAACATTACTAAATATTTTTGTTTTTGCAAATAACAATAGCGAAAAATATATAAGAATGGTTGTTTAAATAATTTTTTCAAATTTATTTACCTATAACTAAAATTACTACCAAAACCTCTTTTAATAGCTTTGTTGTTGAATCGCCGGTTTTTTAAATAAAAATTAATACAACATTATTTAAGTTGGGAACATTTTTTTGTAAAACTTTTAGTTATGTAATTTAAACTATACTATCACATTCAGCATGATACAATAATAAAATAAATCGCAAAATTTTGCCAATGACCCTTGTACATAATTAAAATTAGCTAATTAAGTTAGTTAAAAATTAAACTTGGTCATAGTATTTATTTATCATACTATGAATAACACGAATTACTATTGTATTCCAATAATTGTAAATTAGTTAATTAAAAATAAATTATCATTGAATGATGATTGCACAGTACAATATAGCTGTTATGAATAAAAAACTATGACCAAGTTATAACTGCAATTATAGTTTTTACAATACTATATATACCGCCTAAATTAAAATGTTTTCTACAACGTTTAAATTAAGTTTAAATTACGTAACTCAAAGTTTTACAAAAAAAATTCCCAACAAAATTAAAATTTTAAAATAATTATTAATAAGAATTGAATTAATAAGTTCATAATAAAGCACTACACTATGTAATATAATATTTATGACTAAAATTGATTCAAATTTAATTATTAAATTGAAGATGTTCATTTTTATCATTCTAAACACTTTTTAACATCTAGAGTTTAGTTTCCAATTAATGTTTAGATTCTAAGCATTAATTTTATTTGTATTGCTTATAACTACTCTTCCTTTAACTTGTTCCAAAGTACTTTTAATCCCTCCCCGAAAGTACATTTGATTTTGTCAGCCCTTCGTCATTAGTTATGCCCTTTATATTATTCATATATGTATTAAAGTACAGATACGTTATGAATGACGAATATAAAGGGCACAAGTAATGACCAAGGGTTGCAAAATTGCAGTCATTGCGCCAAATTCAAAGTTAAAGGAACAGTAATTATAGCAAACATTTGATGACAAAAAGAACATAAAACCTTAATCGTAAAACTTTTGAAGCAGTCTACGAAGGTGGACTATCTTGCGATCGTGCTTGGTTAATACGGGTGTTTGCGGGCACACAAGGTTGTCCCAGATGACTTTGTCCTCCAATGCCTATACACCATTGACGGGTAGTTAATTAGATTTAATTAATCAATTATAATAAATGTTAATTAAAAATTAATTATAAGTTGAAAAAGGCGAAATCCATCATTCATCATTTGATATAATTACTGTTATGGTACCATTATGATAATAATTATAAATTGCATATTATTTACCAACAACTAATAACAAATTGCACCTAATTGTACAGTACAGTACATATTCTACCTTATTATTAAAATTAAAAGACAATGACCTGAGAGCGAAACAAACGGTGAAACAGCCAGACAGCGATCCTCATCCATAGGGTAGGTGTGCCTAATAATCGGGTAGTCATGAGCACGTTGTCGGGTCCCAAAGTAACGCCCGATAGTGTCATCACGAGTTGCGTAACGCCCGGTAGGCCAACACTGGTGAACATCAACTCTCCGTACGCCGGTGTGAGCGCCCGGTAATCATACTCGATGTAAGTGAAGCGTACGCCAAACACCAACAGATCTACCCGTATGTGCAACGGGTTATCCTCAGTGCCCTCCCCTGACGTATAGTATTTGGCGCTAATAATGCCCGAAAAAACGACGGTATGAACGTATTCAAAGTGCTCCGTGTCCAACAGGTTCTCGATTACTTGCTATTTTTTCAATAGATGTACATTTATTTATTACATTTATAGTCTATGACATGTTTACCAATAGTCTTATACAAAGTATAATAACGTTATAAACATTTATAATACAAAGTTATTATACAGGATGTTTTTACCTGAAATATATTGTAGATGTTATAGTTAAATGTAGACAATAGGGTAAGTTTGGGATTGTTGTATTTGACGGACAGGTCTGGTAGGAAGTGGTCGGGCTCCTGATCGCTGCTGTGATACCACATGTATATCATCTCGTTTTTCTCCATCACTGGCCAACACTTAACCCTTGCGTTCAATGGTTTTAATTCACTCTCTAAGTACAGTAAACGACAGGATATTATAACAGTGTTTGAATAATTATATAAACATATATTTGATAAGTTTTGTGCAAAGTTATGCTTACTCTCAAGATTGGGTATGCGTTTGCACTGTCCGTCTCCGCCAAACCTCCAGCCATGGAATGGACACTGAATACAGTCGTCGCCCGACTCTGACTCAGTCACCACATGTCCGCCGACACCGAGATTTGCGCCCAAATGCGGACAATAGGCGGACAAGACGTGGACCGCACCCGACGGACCCCTGAATGCCACCAATTGTTGTTCGCATAATTCAAACGCTTTAACACTATTTGTGGCCAAATCTCGGGAATCCATTATAATATACCACGTGTTGGCGTACGTACTCTTACTGCCAGGTTTGGGCTTTGGCTATATTAATAGGAGACAAAATAAAACCATAGTTGTATATTGTATAATTGTTGAAATTAATTATTTAGATTTCTAACAAATGTGAACGTAATATGTAAACGTCATCTAACCCTAATTGTATCTGAGGGTAAATCTAGGGTAAATTTTTGTCATGTTATTTATACTCTAGTGATAAACAGGGTAACGTTTATAATGGTTAATATGTTAAAATAATCAAGGTGAGACATTGATTACGTCTCATTATGAACAGGGTGAGAGACGACTAGATCTAACCTATTAACATTAGTCAAATAAAACAAATTGTTTTAATCTAGTGTTAAATGTTCTTTTATCATAAAAACTTTTATACTGACACTAATTACAGTACATTATAATATAAATTTTATAATTATAAATATTAATTACAAACTACTGTATTACCTTTTGAATGGGATAGAATAAATTGTTATAATATAAAAAAGTAATATATTTAATCTATATACCATACCTTGAATATCTGCAATTTTGTTTTAAATAACATATACCATATGATATAGGTTATAATTGTTCCAATTATGACCAAGTACATTATTTGAATATGAAATTATATCAAATTAAATATGGTGAGCAACAACTACTGTATAATATTATGTGTTAAAACCAAGTTTTGTAACATTGAAAATGAAAACTTTTTAATTTACATTATAAATTAATTTATTAAATCCAGATTTATAAAATTAATTTACTTGATGTAATTTTATCACTTTAAAAGTATTTTATAATTATCACGTACTACTTAATAATATACATGGATACTGATAAATGGTTAATAATTTTAATTTATAATAATTTATTATTAATAAATATTAATTAAAATTAAGTTTTTAATAAAAATTTTATTTTTTAATTAAACAATAAAAGTTATTTTAAAAAACACAAAAAAGTAGTTAATTCTTAATTGAAATCAAAATAGCTAGATAAAACTACTAACAATTGTTAGTTGTAATTTATTTGTTAAATTTAAAAATATTATTTTTCTTATTTTAAACATTTAAATTCATTTGTTGTATTGATTACAACAATTATTTGATGACAAAAAAACATCTAAAAATTTAATCGTAAAACTTTTGAAACAGTCGACGAATGCGAACTACTTTACGATCATTTTTGGTTAACACAGGTGTTTGCGGGAACACCATGTTGTCCCAGATCGGTTTGTCATTCAACATCTATATACCCCCGATGGGACAGTTAGTTATAGTATAAATTAATTATAATAAATATAAAATAAAAAAATTATTAACTAAAAATAACAGTAACAATATAAAGGTAACATAAAAGTGGTAGCATATTTGATAAATGGTCGCAATTGTTACATGGTAGCATAAAAATTGCTATACGTCGATGCTAAAATAAAAATACAATTACCTGAAGGTAAAACAAATAGTGAAACAGCCAGACAAAAATCCGAGTCCATAGCGTAGGTGTGCCTAATAATCGGGTATTGATAAGCGATTTTTCGGGTCCCAAACAAACGCCCGATAGTATCATCACTAGTGGCGTAACGCCCGGCGCGCCTACACTACTGTACTCGTACTCGCCGTACGCCGGTGTGACCGCCCGGTAGTCGTACTGTATTCTACACACATATATGCCAAACACCAATATATCTGCCCGTATTGTCAGTGGTTTATCCCAAGTGCCCTCCCCTGACGTATAGTATTTGAGGCTCACAATACCAGGAATAATTACAGTGTGAACGTATTGTAGATGTTCAGTGTCCAAAAGGTTTTCGATCACTTGCTATTTTAAACAAATATAAATTAATTGAGTCATATTATAGTCTACATTGTAAATTCTAGATGATAATTATTAATTAAAAATTCTAAATTGTATCATCATTTTATTACAATGAAACATTTTATGCCTGTAATCAAGAAGACAAATATGCAAATATAATACCAAATATAAATTGGCATGCACTTTACCTGGGGGGTAGTGTAGATATTATAGTTAATTGTGGACAATAGGGTAAGTTTGGGATTGTTGTATTTGACGGACAGGTCTGGTGGGTAGTGGTCGGGCTCCTGATCGCCGCTGTGATACCACACGTATATCATCTCGTTTTTCTCGATCACTGGCCAACACTTAACCCTTGCGTTCAATGGTTTTAATTCACTCTCTAAATAAAGTAAACAACATAAATATTTGATAGTATTTTTAGTTATTATTATAACTTTTCAAACATGATTTTAAATTTGCAATTTGATAAAGAGCTAGAGTCTAGCTAGACCTTTCATATAATGTTAACAATGTCAAACACGGTGTTTAATGTATAACCCTGTTAATTTATAAAATACAAATCACTATGAAAGTATAAAAAATTTAAATAATAATCAACATTTTTCTGAGTGTTTCTAAAATTGTTTGAAAAGTTATATAAAATGTATTTAACAATAAAGTATTGCAAAGTTAGACTGACTCTCAAGATTAGGTATGGATTTGCACTGTCCGTCCCGTCCGCCAAACATCCAGCCATGGAATGGACACTGAATACAGTCGTCGCCCGACTCTGACTCAGTCACCACATGTCCGCCGACACCGAGATTTGCGCCCAAATGCGGACAATAGGCGGACAACACGTGGACCGCACCC